TAAATAGCTTGTAAAAGCTGCGTGTTTTACTTTCACTTTCAAATAGCGGCAAAAGCAATTGTTAATTTTTAGTTAGTTTGAATTTCCCCTCTTTTCCTCGCTTTCCTTCGCTTTTAAATAGCTTAAAAGCACCGTGCACATTTTACTTTCACTTTCGAAGTAGCGGCAGTTCGGCGTCAATTGCTTGAATGCAACAACAAAATACAACGTCAAACTCACTTTAGTGTATATATAAAACATAGAACTTTTATTAACAAAACAAATAAAAATACACCATGCTATAGGGCAGGCTATGCCTTACATAAAGTTTAAATAGGTATACAAAACTGGAAATAAGTTAACGTATAATATATAACCAAATAAATAAGAAATGTAGAACGTTTATTAGCAAAACGAGTAAGCAGGCACGGCATACACCTTGATGTAAAAATAAATAAATAAACGACACAAAGTTTAAATAAAGTAAAAATCAGCAAACAATGTGGAACCAATTAAATAAGAAACGAAAGTTTAAAAAAACTTCCAAAATACCTTAGATAAACGGCAAAAGTCAACAGGCTTTTCAAAATCCCAAATATTGCCAAACACTCGCTTTTGGATTTAGTTTCAAAACTAAATCATCCGCGATCGTCTTGTCTGTCTCACCTCACTCTTCTTGTCAGTCAGCTCGACTCCCTCTCCTCACTGGAGAAATAAAATCTGCTCTGTGATGTGACTGTCGTTCGGCATGCTACATTGAGCAGCCATGTTCAGTTTGTAATTGTAGTGTCTGTTCTTTTACTGAACTAAATTATTTTTATTACTATAAAAAAATCAAAACGACGGTGGGGGTCGGTGCCGCGGTGGGCAAGTGACGTAACCGGTGTTGCGGCTTAACACCGGTATTACCATCAGCACCGTCTATCGCGGCAAGCCTACTCCTCATGTGCTAAAATACAAACATAAAACACAAACCTCTTTACAAAAGTCTGTAGCTGCTTTCTCAGATTCAAACATCAGCGACCAATTCTGTCTCGGGTCATCATAAAACGTGCAGTAGTTACTTGGCTGGACCTGAATGTGAGAGAGACAGTTAGAAAAAAAAAAAAACAAGTGTTGTCTGACTTGAATTATGTGAATAAGAGCTCACAGTGAGAACGAAGCCGCTGTGGATCCTGGCGGCTGTCACCTGCTTCTGTTGACTGACATACAGCAGGATCTTGTACTGAAAAAGAGGGCAGACATGCAAATGTGTTAAGAAAGACTCAGTCAAAAGAAGACAAACGTGATCATTCTAACCTCTTTAGTTGAATGATGTCCAAGGACCGCAGCTCCAAGCTTGCCTTGTTTCACATACTGTCCATTAACACTGCACAGAAAAAACAGTGATCGCTGCATATCTCTATTCATAACATCAGTCTGCAAACTGTACATTACCACAGACAACCAGTACTCAAGATAAATACTTGTAAACAGCACTTTGCTTTGGAAGACAGGTTTAAAATGTGCAGCACTACAGAGCTGTATATTTTCCATGCTTTATTCAATACACTTAAAATTAAATAACAAATAATACACAAAATTAAAAAAGCTTCTGCATCTTTTCCGTCTTACTATCTGTATGCATGTACTGCAGTAGCAAAGAGAACAGCAGGAGAGTTTGGAGGAGGTGCACCCTTTTGGGTTGGGGGTCCTGTAAAACAAAACATGTCATAAAATGTCAACAAAAAAAAAACTGCATTAAAAAAAAAGTATTATCGTACTTCATATTCATTATTTTTCCCTATGAGGTCCTCTTACACTACAGTTCAAAGGCATGCAAAAGTATGCATTAAAATTATCAAAAGTGATAGTTAATATTTACACTGTTCATAATTCTATTTTAAATAAATGCTGTTCCTTTGAACTTAAAAGAAAGAAAAAATTTATTACGGTTTCCAAAAACATCTTAAGCAGCACAAATGTTTTCAATGATGATAATATGAAACATTTCTTGAGCAGTAAATCAGCATATTAGAATGATTTCTGAAGGATCATGTGATACTTAAATACAAAACAGTTCAATTAAATTTTAATAATATTTCACAATATTACAGTATTTTTAATCACATTAATGTAGCCTTCATAAGCCAAAAAACATTACAAAAGAATCTTATCAACACAAAAATGTTTAGCCTAGGCTATATAAATATATAAATGAGATGTTTGAGTGCACTTTCACAGTTTTAGCAGATGCAATTCATTCTATTGTGGTTTCATTCCTATCAAACAAGAACATTATTGTTTCAGAGACTATTGATATGTACGTTTGCGTCAATGTTTTTTCCCGATGCGAACTGACATCAGTGCTAAATTCACAGGTGTGTTTGTGCCATTAGCTGATTTACATTGTTCCTTTAGCAAATCAGGCACTAAACTAACACATTCAGTGCATGCAAAAGAAGAAAGCATTTTATTTCTCTTGGATCCTTGCAATTAAATGTCAGGTTTTTTTGTTCTTGAACCTTTAGAAACACCCCTTTCGCATGGAAGGTTTTTGGTGCTGTGCTTGCAGATTTGCTGATGTGTTAGATATAGTTTGTAATTATAAATGCAGTTTCTAACTCCTCACCAATTTATTTTATGTAAAAATATATATATATATAGAAAACTGTGATTCCTCATGATATGACCACTTTTAAGTGTCAGCTCACACTCGCAGAGGCTCCTGCAGTCTTACCTGAGTTGGCAGGGCTCTTGCGGGGCTGTTTGGGTGCTGTGTACTGGAAAGACTCGTTCCCCTGGCTTGCTGCCTGATCCAGTCCAAACAGAGAGGCTAACTTTGCTCTGGAATCACAAAAAAGCAGCAAGTAAGGCCACTATTACACTGCTCCACCACTTGTGGGAGATCACATGAGTCTCAGAACGACGCTCAATCCTCAAATCAAAGCTAACCTAATTTTGACTTTGAATGACTTTTTGATTACACTTTAAACTGAGAACATCAGTGAACACCTGCAACAACATATGAAACCAAAAAAGTACGACTTCCACAATATCATCAGGAAGCTAGAACGCATACGCCACTGACCCATGGATCGGTCTCCACTTGTAGTCATTGTCCTGCTGTCCTGCCATGCTCAGCTGACCCGTTTCTGGCCTGCTGCCTGAGCTGGAAGCTATGCAATGATAACCAGTCAATCACTCCTCATGTTCATCTGAGCTTCATGCCACATTTCCAACTTCCACGTAGTATCAGATCTCTTTAGCAGGTCTGGCAGGGACTACAACCACACAGCAGCTCCGCGTGACTGTGGGCGCCCCGTTCCCAGACTGAGGCCCTGCTCTGATCCGGGACGTGTAACTACCAGCATGTGAGCGGCATTAACACGCTGACTCTCCACCTCTCTACAATCCTTCTCAACAGCTTCATATTCCCCATTAACACATGTGGATGCCAGCGCAGAACTGAATTTATGGATATAACACCAGAGACAAGAAATGTAGTGGCTCCAAAATTTAGTGACACTTAAAGAGGTTTGAAAATGGGGTCTGTGGACCCGCAAAAAATGTGTTAGGGAGTCTGTGTAAATGTTTAGAGAAAAATGTAAAAACAATGGGTCATCTGAATAAAACAATTAAATAAATTATAAAAAATAAAAGCTATCATTTAAAATAACAGAACAGGAATGAGTAATAAAAAATAAAATAAATAAATAAACAGATAGATAAAAATAAGTAAAGAAATAATCCACCTATCAGTACAGTACTATAATGAGTACAAAAACAATGTCATAATGTAACGTAATCCTGTAAAGCCTGACATTTGAAATAACAGCCATATTAGTATTATTATTATTTTTAAATTTGTTTAAAAAAAGTCGATTAGGCTTTTATGGCTTCAATAGTATGATGATACAGGCGAATATGGAGCTCATCCTCAAGGAAGAAAAAAAACACCCGAGTTTTATTATCCCAAACTGAGCAAAAACATGAAATATGGTGCAGTTGCTGATATTTATTTAGACAAAAGGAAAAATGAAATATCGATAGCCTGTAATGTAAATCTTTAACAGACAACACAGTTTTGATTATTTAGAAGCTTTAGACATTTGCGTATCAAACATGACACAGTAGGGCATCACATAAATCCTATATAGAAACTAAATAGTACAACACTTAAAATGTCTGAAAGTCTTACATTACATAAATCAAAGTTAGTTCTGCAATTTGCGTTTTAATTAGTGGGGGCCACTAGTGATCTTTAAGTGGGCTGTGGCATTTTGGAGTTTTTAAGTTTAGAAAAAAAGATTTTAGAGGAATTGATCACATCAACAACACCCCGAGCAAGAGGTCTCTAAAGCAGGCCAGTTAAAGAGCAGACATCAGATGATCATCAGAGAACATGCAACGCTCAACACATCACACGACTCTCTCGTCTGTTCGTGTACTTCGTCGCAACTAACGTTTCTTCAAGTTGACCTGTCAGCCATAACTGCTACATTAATGTCCGTTATCAGCCAACGAGCGACACTTCTCTTCTCTCTGGCACCAGAATAGTTTTTTCTTCCCCACACCGTCGCTGCATTTTAGTTTCGGTGTTACACATCTCCCCAGACTTTATTTAAACAGTGGCTGGTGTTTGTCTGATGGCTTCTGCCTGCAAGAGAGTGTGTGTTTGTCCGGCAGGAACTCACCCTCCAGAGGGAGACAGAAAGTCTCCGTCCTCGTCGTCTGCTGCAAACATGGCCCTGACTGAACTGAGGCGCCAGCTTTAATAATATTCCAGATATGAAGTAATGACAGCCTGCACGCGGGGAGTAAATATTAACGCGTAATAACTCTCCTCGGGCGCTTCCTGGTTCTGCTGGAGTCAGCTGACCCGCCACCTGATCACGTGCGCTTACGTCCCTCGGCACTTCTACTCAAACTGGCGCGAGAGAGAAAAAAACTAGTCATTAAAACACATTTGGAAAATCTGAAATATGTTTTAATGTGCTTATAGTTAATGTACTGTGTTGTTTAGATTTATTAATCATACGAAAATAATTTACATTTAAAATTACTAGGTATACTACATTTATATTTACGTGTACTACCCGTGCACTACGTACGTTTTATTTACATTTTTCTTCTAAAACACATAACTTATTATTGCTTGTGTTATTATATTTGATATTATTATTTATGTTTATTTCATGATGCATCGACTGTTGTAAAACTATACTAAAACGAATATAAGTTTGGCGGAAATGTTTCATAATCGTAATTCGAGAATCGATCGTATTTGTATTACAGATCCGACAGTTTGATTTCCGAAACAAGTGTACGGTGGCCGAGAGTCGCGTCAGACCTGCATTAGCGCTTTTACAGTGGAAGTAGGCCAGTGGACTTCTGCTGCTGCTAAGCAACCGCTCTTTACACAAGCAAAGGCACACGCTTGTTAACGCTTGTGAGGATGAACTGTTGTAACAAATGAGGTAAGCGTATATTAATGTTATAGTGTAGTATATATAAATATATATATATAAGTGTTATCGTGCTATTACACCAAATGGACAAAACGAATCCAGTTCAAATAAAATGTAAGCTACGCGCTTTTCTTAAAGGGAATAAATGATTATTTATCACAATAATAGGACGTTAAAGGGTTGTTCTATTTTTATTGTCACATTGTCATTTTACTCAGTAAATGAATAAAAGCCTGTGAGGTTGTTTTGAACGTTTCTCACTAATAATATTTGATATGCTCGAATATTAATAGGCTAAAAAAGGACTCCTTAAAGGAATATTTCACCCAAAAAATGAACATGTGCTGAAGATTTACTCACCCGCAGGCCGTCCAAGATGTGGATGAGTTTGTTTCTTCACTGGAACAGATTTGGAGAAATGTAGCTTTACATCACTTGCTCACCAATGGATGCTCTGCAGTGAATGGGTGCCGTCAGAACGAAAGTCCAAACAGCTGATAAAAACATCACAATAATCCACACCACTCCAGTCCATCCGAATATTGTTTTCTCCAGTGAAAAAATTGTCTCGTCTGAATCAGGAGGGAAATATGCCCAGATCAGGCACTGTTTATAAGTGAAAAAAAAGTAGTGAACATATGTGGATTTTCTGTGGATTTTAATGTAAGAAGACAAAAACAGATGGACGTTTTGGATGTTAGACATTCATGGATTTGTCTTTTCTCTTCACAAGACATTAACTGATGGACTGGAGTGGTGTGGATTATTGTGATGTTTTTATCGGCTGTTTGGACTCTCGTTCTGACGGCACCCATTCACTGCAGAGCATCCATTGGTGAGCAAGTGATGTAATGCTACACTTCTCCAAATCTGTTACGATGAAGAAACAAACCCATCTTAGATGGCCTGAGGGTGAGTAAAGTCTATGTTTTCATTTTTGGGTGAACGATTGCTTTAAGTTTTTCCCCTCACAAGTCTGATCAGGTTCATTGCAGTTCTTTGAAAACTCATCTACTTTCCTTCATTTTTCAGGGACTTTGAGGCCAGTGTGGATGGAGCTCACTGTTTCAGGGTGCTGTGTTCGCACCCATGCTGCTGGGACACCGAGCGCCGCTGCACCAGAGGAATCAAACGCCACAATCCAGCACGCGTGAGGAAACACTCTCTCAAAAATGGTGCGTTTCCTTTCCAGATTTCTGGATACTGCATCAGTCCCTTATTCATTTGATCTTTGTCTGTATAATGCCACATTGTTATTCTGGTCTCTTGTAATAGGAGCAGAGGACTTTCCATCTCTGAGTATAGTTAATGTCTCTGAATGGGCTGGACGGGGGAGACCGATTAAAGAAAGGCCACTGTACGGTGCTGACACAGAGGCATCTTTGAATGATGCCTCTTGTGTTTCTCTCAGCAAACAGACACAAGACACTCAGAAGATTAAGAGGCGAGTCTAATACATCACTGCATTAATACAAAAGGGATCAGAACTGTTATTTTTCTGTCCCACTACTCACAGTCTCTGGTTATTGTTTGGCAGGGCAAATCTTTCCTTCCCAGACATCATGTTGCCCAGCGATAAACCAAACAATATGCTCAAGGTATGTAGAGGTTACACTTGACTTCCAAAATATCAGTAATCATATCTGAATTATATAAATCATGACTTGTGATTGCAGTTAAATACAGTTGAGATCAGTCCTTTGATGGGCCGCTCTGAGTTGCCACAGTGTCCACTGGTTATGTGGATTCCCAACCCGCACCACGAGCCTCAGTGGCTCCGCCAAAACAAGTAGGCCAATAATTGCTTCCCATTTTATCAACAAGGTTTTATAAATCATATAAGTAGCACTGCATATTATAGCATTTTTAAACCACCTTTATGAGTTATGGATATCAAACATGTGATGACCATATGTCCTCTTTTTCCTGGACATGTCTTGGCCTGTCCGGGGTTTCTAAATTGCCTTAAATGGCTGGGTTTTGGCTTTGTTTTCCTATTGACGTTCTCTCTACAATCCGCGTGCATTACATGTACGAAACATGTAAGTGTTGTAAATGTGCATACATTTAAAAAAAATTGAAATTATAAAAAGCTTTGCAGGATTTGCGATGCTGATGACCGTAAAACGCGTTATCACAGTCTGTGAAAAGGGTCCATAGAAATACAAATTCAAAAACTGGACATTTTAGGCAATTTTAAAAAGTCCTGACCAGGACGTATGGCTACTTGAAAATGAATTGCATACTTGTTCATTAATCACATGTACAGTGTTTTTTTTATACTTGCATTTAACTGATGTTTGGCATCTGCTTTTCACTATGAAGGTCTAAATCTCCAAACATCACTATAAAAGAGTTAGTCTGCCTTCCATCCAAGCCGTCCATCGAGGTGAGTGACCAGGCAAGGTGTCTGGTATAATTATGCAGCCATAATAATGTGAGAGCATCATTAGTAGATGCCAAAACTTTATATATATTTACAAAAAAAATGATTTTATGTCATCTAAAATATGTATTATTAGTATTAATACATTTTGGATATATTCAACTGCTTAATAATAATAATAATAATAATAATACATAAATTTGTCTCTCTGTATAATTATGACTTTTGTTTAAAATGCCTATTTAAAAAATACAGTCAAACCAAAAATTATTCAGACACCAGATATAATTTTTACTTGTGGGTGCAGGATGCTATAGTTCATTTATGCAAGTGAGGATAGCAAAATAAAGTAAACTGACATATTATACCCAAAAAGTCTTCATACAGTGGACTATCAGAAAAATTGATAAACATTTGGGACCAAAAATTATGCAGACACTTTGACCTGACCATGTTTAGCTTAAGTGTTTTTTTCTTTAATTGCTAATGCAAACTTTTTACACCACAGACTGAACAAAATTCTTGTCATACTTTATTACCAATTTCGAAACTATAGCGAATAAACCGCGATAATGTGCGAAATGTTGAAGGTGTCTGAATAAATGTTGGTTTGACTGAAAGTGATTTATTTACATTTGTTATTAATTTTTTTATTAATTATATGGAACTCTTAGTCTTTTAAAGCAGAAGTGTGTTTGTCCAGCATAATTCTGCTGTTTTTGTTTGTTTATATTCAGGCCAACCAGCGGAAGAAGTGTAACGGTCATAAAAGTAGAGGTAAGAGAGGAATTAATGCTACACAAGAGGGCGCTGGCAGCCCACGGTGGGTGGGCATTGGCTTTAATCCCATTCCCAAAACCACCCCACATCACCTCTCCCACAGCCTAGCATTCAAAGGTGAGCATATATATGTTTTGGGATAAAGCTACAGTTTTCCTAACTGACCCATATTAAATGAGAGAATTTCTCAGTTCTGTAATTGGAGTAATAGAGTACTACCAACTTAAAGGGATAGTTTACCCAAAAATGATGGACTGTCCCTCGTGTCATTCCAAACCTGTACAACTTTCTTTCTTCTGTGGAACACAAAAGAAGATATTTTAAAAAGTGGTTACCAAACAGTTTTGGTCCCACTCACTATTTTTGTCCATATTGGACAATGGAAGTCAATGGGACCCGCAACAGTTTGGTTACCAACATTCTTCAAAATATCTTCTTTTGTGTTCAGCAGAATGTCATACAGGTTTGGAACGACATGAGCGTGAGTATAATGTTTCATATATAATATGATATAGCATATTATATTTCTGTGTGTCTATTTCTTCCTTCCTTTTCTTTCTGTCTCTCCCACTCATCTGTCCACAGATAGTGGGTGGGGATCATTGGATCAAAAACTGCCAAGCCTAACCACACCACACCCAAACCCAAAGAGCAGTAGTGTCAGTCCAGCCTTGAGCCTGAGTTTAGAATCAGTAAAGTGCTGGAGAGGCCACTGAAACAGACTTAAACAGATCTCATACTTATGCCACATTAAGAAGACAAAGGTGTTTAACTGTAAATGAAAAGTCTGTTCCATAAGTAGTTAGTCGTGTCCAATGATTGTCTTGAAAGTCAATTCCTATTTTAAACATAGACTAGTTTCAACAAATAATTAAAATGTAGCCTACATGGTTTGTTTTTCACAGCCTGAACAGTTAATTTATTCACGAATGTGCATTATGATGATAAACAGCAGGTGGCAGAGCAGATCAGAGTGATTCAAATCCTAACTGAACTGAACTCGGAAAGTGACTCCATCAAATATAGTGTGTGTTCGGCTGATATATGCTATATGAATAGAACTGCAGTTGACAATTATCAACAAACATGCACAGTTGTTAAAATTTATTTTTATGTTTTAAAAAGAAATCAATACTTATGTACAACCAGATGGTATTTAGTATGTAGTTAAAAAAATCATGTTTTTACCTGTGATCAGTTTTTATCACTGCTTTTTGGACTTTCAAAAAAATAGGGCTTTGCCAACACAGATAGTTTATAATGTATAAAAATAGAGATTTAAAGGTGCAATATGTAAGATTTTTTTATTAAAATATCTAAAAACCACTAGAACAGTGTTATATATTTTGCTGACTTTTGCTGTGCTTACATTATCCGAAATGTTTCGAAAAATGTTTAAATCCAGAGAAATAAGCAATTTTAACTAGTGACACAGACCGTTGTGTCGCCTGCCAATGACGTAATTGTAACGAGGCGACAGGGACGAGAGACGTGCAGATCCATTTGCAAAGCTTTATTCATTAGAATGGTCAGAAACAGGCAAGGGTCAGACAATGGCAACAGGTATATTGAGGGCAAGACACAAGAGTAATCCGATAAACAGGTGTAGGTCGATCAACGGTGAACATAATCCAAAGGGCTTGACAAGAGGGGTAATACAATAAAATTTGCAATAGTCCAGGCGAGGTGCAAACACAGTTCGAAACAGCAAGGCAAAGGGTTAATTCAAGATACACAGGCAGAAGATCAGAAAACAGGCAAGGCAAGACTTTGACTAGACTAAGGAAACTAGACCTAGAAACTTAAACAAGGACAGGAAACTCGCTCCGTAAATTAGCTATGCTAAACAGCATAAATGCTTAAACAATACTCAGCAGTTTAGAAGAGGACATCTGAGTGGGTGTTATATAGTGTGTGTGATTGGTTTCAGGTGAACGTGTGATTAGTGAAATAGCTGCTAGGGAATGTAGTCCGGGGTGACATGTGAAAGTCTGTGTAGTGAGAGAGTCATAAAAATGGAAGAGCGACCTCTGGTGGTAATTGGACAGAAGTCCATGAACTGGATTCGTGACAGTAATACATCCTCGATTTCCGGTTTTGTTTTGTTGAAAACATGGAAACACCAAAGATGCTTTAATATGTTGTGCGTTTTATTAGACAGGTGACGACTGCACAGAGTAGCATTATAACAGAACTTTCAAACGTATCTAGTATGATAAAACAGCGCTGCTTTACCCCACATACGCACGACCGGAAGGAGCGGAAGCGGTCGAATGTGGCATAATAAAAGCTCCGCTGCTTTCGAGCCGTGTGTCGTGCTCATTCAGCGGCCTCGTTTCGCTTCGACGGCTTTCAGCCTCACCCTGCTTCAATCCGAGTCCCGTCGGATTGCATCAGCTGTGGGGATGAAGACCACAACTCCCATGATTTCACACTCAGTCACTGCCTCATCAAACTACGCCTTTGTCCATTTGTTTGTTTTGAATACGCGCCGTCTAGCGGCGAAAACTTACATATTGTACCTTTAAAATACCTCTAACAGTTTTAAACATAATTTAAAATACGGCATTTTAAAAACTATTTGTGAACAGAAGGACATTTTTTAAATGTGTGTTTTTTTGCACCAACAAAAACTAAGGTTAAATCTAGATTAAATCAAGGTATTCCAATAATTCTGTTGCACCAAATTTTAAACTTTGTTTAAAAATAAGCAGACTTACATTTAAACCATTATTCTGATCCTTTTAATATACATTTAATATAGATTAATTTTAATCCTGTTTCTCTTTTACGTTAAACTTGGTTTTAAATCTCAGTTAGGAATTAACTTTTAATTTACATGTGAGGAGGTTTAAATAATAATACAAATAATAAATAAAAAACACCTACAATTAAAATTAAACACAGATGATGATTTTAATCACAAAAATAACTAAAACTAGATCAACCAGTCTTTTGTTATCATAAACTTTGCTTCCTTTAATTCTTAATGGTGCAACCCCCTTTGTGTTTTTAAAATTTTTAATAGTAGTATATGAATAATAATAATAATAATAATCTACATTGGTGAAACATCTGCTACAGCATATTCGAGGGTTATGCTTTAATACAATAGTCCACTCTAGATATTCTATAAGTAACTTTGCAACTACATGTCAAGTAACACTCATTAATTTGCAACTACATGTCAACTAACTCTCATTAGAGTTTAAGTAGACTGTTAGGACCATCAAAATAAAGTGTCTACTACTCTAATGGCTGCTAGTTGACATGTAGTTGCAAAGTTACTTATAGTTAGTAAAATGTGGAATATCAAAATAAAGTTTTATAATGCATTTGTTGCTTGCAAAAAAAATTTAATTAATCTGAATACATAACTACTTTTCACTGGCAACCAATAGAAAAATAAGCTTTCTGGTTTCATATGATGTACGTAGTTACTACATACTGGCAGAGGTTAACAGGGCCATGCTAACAAGCCAAACCTTGACCCTTTGGTACAAGCACACACACAGCTGCGGTGTCCACCCTGGGTCGGTTCTTACACCCAGCATCTGTCTCTGTTCCAGGTAACCTCCCGTCTCACCGCACTCCCATGTCCACACACCCATTGCACTTGTTTTTCCATTAGCACAGAGACTTTGAGCGAGGTTTTGTTGGAGAGAATGGGCAAAAACACAGAGAGAGTAGGTCCTGTCCTGTGCACTGGGATTTCCACAGCTGACGTCCAGGAGAGGATACGGTTTGTTCCTCACCACTCACAGGTGCTGGGACACTATAAACATAATGTTTGTGACACGCCAGATGTGACCCAAAAACTATACACAGTACAACTGTGACATGCCACATCCACCCAAATGAATAGGTCATTTACTGCATGGTTAGCATGAAATTTGTTTGTCATTGAGGTTCCTCCCAAGTGTGCAGGTGCTTCCTTTAATCTGAATCCTATAATTTATTATGGCTGTGTTTGGAATGGAATATTAGTTTGGAGACTCAACATCTAATATAGCATTAATAAACACTTTCGGAAGAGAATGTTATGCACTAATAACATAATCGGTAGTGTGATCACATTTAATTTTAATATTTAAGAATTACGGCAGAAAGTTTGTTATTATGAATTGAAATTGTAAACAACATCTAATACACACCATTTGCTCCTTTTTAAAAACTCTGTATTACATTAATGTTGAAATACCTTTGTCGGAAAGTGAAAAACAACAGAAATAAATGTGAAAGTTCACAGCGATCCATAGAATGCCAGTCAAAATCACTCAAACACACGTCTAAACTTGTAATACTAAATTGTTGTCACATGATCTTACTTCATTCATCACATGACCTCATCACTGTGTTTTATTCAGTTAGTGGCATCCAGTTGTCATCTTGCATTTTAATTACATTTTGTATAAATGTCTTGACATTTTGCAGACCAATCAGATAATGAGTCAAGAAAAATAATGTGAAAATCATTTTTGATAATTCAGTTCATTCATCACACTGGAAACTGGAAGGTCAAGTTGAACGCATTGCACTGTATACTGCAAAAATAGTAAGTGTTGTAGTACAATATGCTAGTCCTAATATAGTCTGTCTCCTAATTTAGTCAGGTGGTAAAGCATGACTGGAACAAACACAACTCACAAAGACAAATTGAGCCGGTGTTGAATAGAACTGCAGTAAAGTGTTACGCACACAACTGGGCTAGACACGTCATTGACTGCCGGTGTTTGTTCAGAACAGACGCTCACAGCAATGGGACTGCCCACAAGAGCCTGACCTTCAAACACACACTTAAAACAGAAATGTGGTAAAATGACAATACCAGACAGATTTGTGTGGTTGCTTGGAAGAGGACCTGACAACTGTGGTTATGTATAAAGCGTACTGCCATATTACCCTTTTTACCCTATTTCTGCAACACTTTTTTGAAAACACCAGTGTCATGAACAATTGGGTTCCTCTGTTGAATCGAGTCTACTGAGAACCCCTGCAGGGAAGCTATGTGCATTTTACTTTTGGTGTGAAAAGGCTTTTATATTTGCCAAAAATAGAACTTTTTTATTTTAAAAACAAACAAGCAAGCCCTGCCCAGATTTAAAAAGTAACGCAAAAGTAACGTAACGCATTACTTTCCATAAAAAGTAACTAAGTAACGTAATTAGTTACTTTTTTATGGAGTAACGCAATATTGTAATGCATAACTTTTAAAAGTAACTTTCCCCAACACTGTATATATATATATATAATACATTAAAAAATTTGTAAATTATAATTTGCATATGTAGACTAAACCCAAAGTATACTCTGTGCGCAGGATTAATTTCTTCATCAGCATAGTGCAAGTGTACCATATGCACGCTGTTGATATGCCAGCAGTATGCTAAACTAGTATGCGTACGTGCAAAGCCAGATTTTTCTAACCAGACATACTATGTCCACCCAGCAAATAACTTCTGGAGAGAAATAGTGGAGACAACCGACAAGGATGAAACATTTTAGTATGTGTTTGTGCACACTATTAAATGGAGTATACTTTGAAAGGCTACGTGTTCGGCTGTACACATTTCCTAAAGTTGTGTTCCATACTTAGTTTTGTCCCAAATTACACACTATACAATATGTGACTCTGGACCACAAAACCAAGTGTCTTAAGTGTCAATTTTTCAAAGTTGAGATTTACACATCATATGAAAGCTGAATAAATAAGCTTTCCATTGATGTATGGTTCGTTAGGACAGGACAATATTTGGCCGAGATACAATTATTGGAATATCTGGAATCTGACGGTGCAAAAAAAATCGAAATATTGAGAAAATCACCTTTAAAGTTATCCAAATGAAGTCCTTAGCAATGCATATTAATAATAAAAAAATTAGTTTTCATATATTTACAGCATGAAATTTACAAAATATCTTCATGGAACATGATCTTTACTTAATATCCTAATGATTTTTGGCATAAAAGAAAAATCGATAATTTTGACCCATACAATGTATTAGCTATTGCTACAAATATACCCCAGCGACTTAAGACTGGTTTTGTGCTCCAGGGTCACATATTACTTATTCTATGCACTGTGTACTCAACTGTCTAGTGTATGAATTATATAAGGTTATTTTGTCATCCAGTATACTGAT